TTGTCAAAAAGCGGCTGCCTTAAAAAGCTTACTTGCACGTTAATATATGCCTCAACTTTATATTCAATAAAGTATGAACGCTTTATATAATTAATGGACAGCCTTCGCTTGTAAACAAAAACTTGTGCAAAAACAACACCACCACCACATTGTACACTTCTGCACATCTCAAATGTCCATTACGGTTACTTGTAAATCTCCTTCTTTTCCTCTTGTGACAAGACAACTTGTTTTTTTCCCGAGGGAACGAATTATACGTCTACAAACTAAGATGGGCCATAAATTGAGAATGGTGATTGTACAAAACACCCATCATCGATGCCATACTCTTCATCTGAGGAAATCTTCCTACGAAACATCTCCCTCGCCACAGATTCGCCGCTTCCGAATAAATCTTTTTCCATAACAACAATATCCTTATTGTCAAGGCGTGAAGCAATTGGCAAATGATCTTGTGTGTAATTGGAAAATTTCTCTGGAATGCTGTTGCTTGTTTGAGGGCTGTTTGTAATTTCTTCAACTTCGGTCGAAGTTTTTGTAAAGCTGTTGAAATCTTCGCATAGAAGAGGTGTTTCGTGGAGGTATCCTAAATCGACTTCCCCGCTTAATAGCTCGTTTTGCAAGCGAAGTTCTTCCAGATCATTGAGATGTTGCGCTATTCGTTCCTTGCTCGTCTTGATGTACCTTGCAGTTTCTCTCAAAATTCCTGACCTTGATAACTTCTTGTCCTCTGAAGCCAGCGATGGCACGGATTTGCGAAGACTTTCAAAGCAACCACGGATAATTCCTCTCCTTTGTTGTTCGAGTGCGTTGTGATGCGCTCTTCTACCAAAAGAATTCTTAGGCTTCGATTTTGTTATAAGCTTTGGTTTCGTTTTTGCATGGAATTTCTCATGCCCTGCTTCAGGGAAAGGGAACTCCATAATTTGGTGCAATTTTAATGATTTGGCTTCCTAATTTAATTGCTGGTGAGAAAGACGCGGAAAATTAGGTTGCGCGATGTAACAAATGATGCCAAAACATTCCCGCGTGAATCGCGAGAGTGTTTTTTTTTCACGAACAATGCAAAATCGTGCGTTTTGCAAACTAGCACGTGCACGCCTTCCTAATGAACCTGCGAATGCCTCGATTTTATTTTGTGACGCGTAGACCCGGCCACATTTTTGAAAACGGAGATTTCACTCTGAAAATGCATGAAATGTTTTCTGTCCACACTAAGCCGGAGGAATTTTAAAATGGAAACAATCACCGGCCATTTTGAATTTGTATTTGAGTGAAACTCGGAGAGCATTCTCGTCCCCAGAGGCCGCGCTCGTTTTGGTTAGCACCAAGAAATCGCGACCTGGGTTGGTCCAGATTCACGGACCGTTCACGATTCACGGATGTTGCGTCAAATCTGACAAATCTCATATGCTGAGAATGCGAAACGAAAACCCTGGGCACGCTCAGAAAATCGGGTCGCGATTCTTGGTGGCGTCTGGGGACGAGAATGCTCGGGGAGGGAAATCACATAATTATCGTGGCGTCATCGTTTTCGAACAGCTCCGTTTTCAAAATGTTTCCCGTCCACACGAAAACGCGAAGCCGGCGTTTTCAAATTCCTCCGGTTTTCGCCTCCTGCGCAGACGTCATTGAGCTCGTCACGCAATCTTATTCCCCCACAGGGAGGGAGATTGCGTGACGAGCCCAAAGAACGTCTGCATAGGAAAGCCAGTTTAAAGAGCTTTTTCGAAAAGGTCCGTTTTCGTGACGGATTAGTGTGGCCTGGCCAGAAAGGAAAAACTCTGTTTTCAAATTTCTTTGCTGTAGTGTGGACCAGGCCTAAAGACTGGACGTAGTTCATGGTTCAGTACTATATAGAGCCACCACCGTTTGCCTCTTTGGCTGCCGTCTATGCAAATGATGAACAAGAAGTATGCAGGGGCGCAGTATAATTTAAAATTATTTTTGGAACTCTCAGATTGTCTTGGTTAGGAAGTGAATGGATCTGATACTGTAATTGTTTAGTTAGCATTTTCATGCGGATGATTTTGTCAGGAACGTCCCGTCCGGAACTTCAACTTGTAATTAATAAAATACCTCACTCTCTCTCTCTTATTGAAGTTAGTACTGTAATGGTCGCGATTTTCACGCAGGGGCAAGGGATATTCAGCATAGAACTTCCAGCCGCTCAGTGTGACTATCATTTCACAGCTTTTCATTTTGAAGTCTTTGAAAGGCTTGTGCGACCAGAGGGCGTGGCTGAAATTCGGATTGATGAAATAAATCTTTATTTGGCTAATTCGCTTTCAATATTGAATGGTTTCATGCCCTTAGCTGAAACCTAAGAGGATAATTGAGACATACCGGCACAAGAAGAACGAAAGAGGTTCTTTGTCGTTTCCTTTACTTCGTTCGCATATTGGAGATGGCTCGGCTTTACCAACCGAGGTGGTCCTGGTAACGATTGTTCTGACAACATGGCCGCTTACCAGTGGACTGTTTGCTTGTGGTTATTTTATGTGGTTATAATAAACTTGTTTCGCTCAAGTTTGCTTGCGGTTAGCTTTGATATTTTTGGAAAGGACAACATTATCTTGTATTTGGCCCTTTCCAACAAATAAGAGCTAACCGCCAGCAGACACGGGTAAAACTAACCGCAAAGCAAACAGTGTATTCGGTGTTTGGCGTTCCGCTTCTTTCATTTCTTAACGTACCCCAGGACTGCCAGAACATTCAGTTCTAACTTGACTCGAATGCATTTTCAAAGCTTTCTAGTGGGAGGCTCAAGTCTTAAGCGTTATCATAATGGCTTTACGGGTGACCGGCATTCGCTGGATGGCGGAGGTAATCTCAATGTAGGAAGATATGCCCGTTCAACTTTACAGGCTAACTTTCGCGTCGAAACTTTGTATGTGGACACGATGTTAAGCTTAACTGAAATGTTTGTGTAACTGTAAACTGAGAAGCCGTTTCCTTGAGTGAAATAACAGTACGTATACAGAATTAACAATTTGACTATCAGCGGTTGCTTGTTTGAAAACTTCTAAAAAAGAGTTAAAGTTCGTTTTACAGCAATCGATGGAAAATTGCAACACATTATGGCCGTTTTTTTTGATAAAAAAGTAGTTGCTTGCTCAGTATTTCAGGTCTTTTCTTTCTATCAACAGCCATAATAGCTATGGAATTAATGACGTTTTTGGTTGGGTATAAGTCTTGAGTCAGATAGAATGCATTTAGCAACAGTGAAGGTTGATCAAGGCTGGGAAATGGGGAAATTGAGTGGAATTTTGATAGGACCTTCTGTTCCTATAACCACATCCCAAACTAGGTATGATAATGAACAAGTGCAACACCTTTGAAACTGTGCGACTTCCATTAGTCTGTAATCTGTTTTATTGAAACACTTTCTAGGGTCCCGAGGGTTCAGTTGGACAGCCTGGTCCCCCAGGACCTGCTGGAGAAAAGGTAAGAACTGACTTGTACATCTTCAAGCGTAATGTATTGCGCAGAGATCAGTGTATGAGTTTTGCAGACTGCAGACTGCACAATGGTTGCTAGTAAGTAGTATTGTATTCCCATTTGCCATTACCATGTCCACTTTTGATAGCCAACTGTAAGCAGGCTAACCTGAGTGCTATTCAGGCTAACCAGAGGGCTATGTAGGTTATTAACGTAGTCTGCATTTTGGAGTCTGCAATTATCATACACTACACAAAAATTGATACGTTTGCGAAAGAAAACAGATCATGCATCTAATCGGAGATATCTGTGAACATAATATGGATTCCTCATAGTAACTGCTACAATATCAGTACAGTGTACTCCATGAAATGTTTCAGTTTGAATCTCAGATTTTTTGTGTCTTGTAGAGGCTGGAGTACTGTGTGGTAAGAAATGCCTGTTTAATTTGTTCCTCGGCAAAGCAGTTAACTGAAAAGTGATTTTTTGTTTGCTGTTTTATGCAGGGTGACCAAGGACCAAGGGGACAGTTTGGCATGCTGGGCCGTAAAGGTGCTAGGGTATGTGAAGTTTAATTGATTTGAATTATGTTATAACTTTGTTTCTTCTTCTTTCAATGCATGACTAATAATAATAATAATAATAATAATAATAATAGTAATAGTAAAAGTAATAGTAATAGTAATAGTAATAGTAATAGTAATAGTAATA